CCTCATATCCCTGTCCTCTCATTGTCCATAAGGCAGAGTAGGTATTAGTGAGTATTTTTGAGTGAATGATAATAAAACAGTGTGTGGCTCCAACCCAATTGGATGGTAAGATATTGCTGGAGGGTCCCTACGATCACATGGGACACTTTGACCCTGCAGTCGTAACCCCATGGGTGCTGCCGCCTCCACGTCTCACCAAGGACACTATGACTTTGACATTTGGACATTAACATTTGCTTTTTGTTCCCCCTGTGGGGTAGCTAGGAGGCCCAGGGTAAGGGACCAAACTGGGTTAGTGAATATGTGATAGTATCATGCACCAGTCCTAGACGCTGGAGAGATCCTGGAAGGTCCAGGAGGGGGAAGGAGGAAGTGAAAGGGAAGTGAACAGTGTTCTTATGGATTAACTAAGAAATAAACACAGTCCATCCTTCTCGTTTAAACTTATAAAATTGCTTGAAATAACAGCTTGACTGAGATATAATTCACATACCATAAAATGTGCCTTTTAAAAGTATACAGTACATAGGTCTTATTTATAATTAATTTTCAGCAACTTTATTGAGATATAACTCACGTATCATAAAATTTGCCATTCAGTTTACAGTTCAATGGCTTTCTGATTATTCACAGAATTATGCAACCATCACCACAGTCGATTTTAAAACATTTTCATCATGCCGAAAAGAAACCCCCTTATGCAATTAATTTTTAATGCTACAAATAATCAAACAAAACTAGAGTTAAAATGAAACGTGGTAAAATTTAATTTTGCCAAAATAATAACTCACACTAAAGATTGGGGGGAAATGCCCTGAGGAAAATAACTGAACTTTGCTGAGGCAATCAACAGAAATAAAATTCATAAGGTCTAAAAAAATGACAGAAAAAAATTACATTGACCAAAATCTGGCTCTGGGAGACATAACCCGGGAAAAATAATTGAATCTGAATAAAAGGATGCCCTCAAGAGAAAATTCACACTGGGGAAAATATAATCAGCAAAAAGGGATGAGGACTTCAGCAACCCTATTAATGAATTAAATCTTCTTTATAACTTTTAAACAGAAAATAATTGATCCTGATGACAATAATTTTAGTGGGTTAAAAATAAAAATAAAATACATTAGAAATTATCTGATTACGGTTATAGACAACTGATTTGGGAATGAAATTAGGTTAGTATAGTTTGATCCACAAAATACAGTCTTTTTTTAAAAAGTCCAAACTGGGCTTGGTGTCTCACGCCTGTAAATCCTCTCACTCTGGGAGGCAGAGGCAGTTAGATTGCCCGGCCCAGGAGTTCTAGACCAGCCTGAGCAACAGTGAGACTCGGTCTCTAAAAATAGTGGGGCGCTGTGGTGGGCACCTGTAGTCCCAGCTACTTAGGAGGCTGAGGCAAGAGGATCGATTGAGCCTAAGAGTTTGAGGTTGCTGTGAGCTATGATGCTACAGCTCTCTACTGAGTTTTTTGAAACTCTTTTTTTTTTTTTTTTGAGACAGAGTCTCAAGCTGTTGCTCTGGGTGGAGTGCTGTGCCATCACTGCTCACAGCAACCTCAAACTCTTGGGTTTAAGCGACCTTCTTGCCTCAGCCTCCCAAGTAGCTGGGACTACAGGCATCTGCCACAATGCCCAGCTATTTTTTGGTTATAGTTGTTGTTGTTTGGCAGGCCCCAGCTGGATTTGAACCCACCAGCTCCTTTGTATGTGGCTGATGCCTTAGCCACTTGAGCTACAGGTGCTGAGCCTGAAACTTTTGTCTCAAAAAAAATTTTTCTTTAAAGGAAAAAAAAAATTGACCTATTGTTCAATCATTTCAGTGGGTTCACATGTATAAAATTTATAACATGAGACTTGGAAGGTCTATTGTAGGGATGTCCAACCTGTGGCCTGCAGGTCACATGCTGATTTTGGGAGGCCTTTTTTGGCTTATCTGTGGTGTCAGATATCATGAAAAGTATGCAGGGACCTCTTTTTCTTTTTTCTTTTTTTGCTTATCAGCTTTTGTTAGTGTTCGTGTATTTAACATGTGGCCCAAGACAACTCTTTTTCCAATGTGTAGCAGAAGAACAAAAAAGGTCGGACCCCCCTGGATTGGGCTATGTGAACATGGGGCACAGTAATAGTTTGTAAATCTAGCCTATCGGTCAGGTAGAGGACTTTTTCAGGTATAATCAGTGAAATCTCGTTTGATCCATTGGTAATAACATTGAATTGGTTTTTCCGCAGGAACTCAAGGGGGAGAAAGGAGATAAAGGAGCGATGGGGAAACCTGGACCTCCTGGACCCTCAGTAGGTCATTCAGAGTCGTATTATTCCCACAGCACACGCAGCAGAACCTTAGTGTTCACTTGGATGTGTTTTACCTTGAAATCCTAACATTGGCTAAAACATGATGACATTTGACTGCAGAGATCATGAATACATAGAATTATCTTATGGCCTCCTCTGGCCAGATCTTTGCACTATTTTACATGCATCCAGTGCTACTCAACCCCTGACATCTTCAGCGTCTGATTTTAGTCTGATTTTTTAACTTCTCTAATACATAAGTTTTCCTTCCCTCTAAGATGCCTCATCAAACATTTAAAAGGCAGGATAATCAAGAGACAAATGAGGCTGGGTGCAGCGGCTCCACCCGTAATCCCCGCACTCTGGGAGGCTAAGGCAGAAGAATCACATAAGCTCAGGAGTTTAAGACCAGCTTGAGCAAGAGACTCCACTCTATTAAAAATAGAAAAATTAGGTGGGCATGGTGACAGGCACCGGTAGTCCCAGCTTCTTGGGAGGCTGAAGCAGGAGGATGTTTTGAGCCCATGACTTTGAGGTTGTTGTGAGGAATGATGATACCACTGCACTCTCAGGGTCACTCTGTCTTAGTAAAAAAAAGAGGGGGAGGAAACAAGTTAATAAAGATCAATATAAGTAAAAATCGATAATTCATAAAACTTGACATAGCTCTAATTAATACAGGGACCACCTGGAGAATTGTACGGATCTGAAAAGGGTGCTCCTGGAGAACCTGGCCCGCAGGTAAGTTCAGAAGGTCACTGTCATGTGCAACCTTTATCAGTGAGCACTCAGGTCTCTTTAGGTTGCAAAATTAAGATGCCCAACTCAAACTAGCTTAGATAAGAGAGAAAAAAAAAATTAAGTCTTGCCAGGTGAGATTTGTTTGTTCAAATATCTGAGAAGTTCAAGGCTAAGACAGTGTTCAAGGATGTCAGAGCCAGAAACAGTAAAGGCAGGACTTTCTTTCCCTCTCACCTGGGGTTCTGTGTATCAACCTTACTCTCTCCCTTGGCAGTTACCAGGGGAGATGGGGAGAAAGAGCAGGGTGTAGCCACAGACAACTTCAGGTAACAGCATCCAAGGAGAAACATAACATCCATAAATGAAATCCCAAGGAATTAAGCTCATTGACTAGCTAGGCCATATATCTCACTCCAGAAAAATGACTGTGTCCAAGAGGAGAAAGTACTATGATTCACTAGACTGGTGGAGCAGTGGGTATAATGGATTGCACCATCATAACCACCAAGACAGGAGCTCCCCAAAATGAGGCTTTGTGTACCCAGACATACGATGCAACAGGGGCCGACTACCTCACCCAGATCCATTTTGGAAAAATTTAAACACATATTATGTAAAAGTGCTAAGAATGATACATTGGGAAAAAGTATGGGTTTTTTTCCCTAAGAAGAACTATTTAATGGACACGTTTTTTTTTTAATTGTGGGTTAATGTGAGGGTACAAACAACTAGGTGACAATGTTTGCATTTGTTAGGTGGCGTCCCTCTTGTTATTGGGTTCCATGCTC